TATATATATATATATAATTACTCTTTTAATTTTTATAGTTTTATCAATTTTTTATTTGTATAATTAAAAATATTTTATTTTACTTCTTATACATTTTTTTTTCTTTTAGCCCTTATAACATGATAAAATTTATGTTTTAGTATCTATGAAAATACACGATAAAAAAAAAATTACGTGTAAAGAAACTAAAGAACATTTTTAATTGTAAGAGAAATTAAATGCAAAAGTTGATAAAACTATAGAGAGAAAAAAAAAAGTAATTAACAAAAATGTCTGTGTTGATTTTAATAAGCTGCACTAGATATAACTATTACAAGCATGAAGCCAATAAAGTACTAACCCTTAAATTAATCTTCATAATACTTTTTTTTTTTAACTATTTGACAAGTTTATATAAATCTTATTAAATAAAAAATAATCCTTAAATATTTAGAATATGAACTACGTAAAATTTACCAATAATAAAAAAATTCATATTAAAAAGCATACCGCTAACTTAAAAAAAAAATAATAATAAGAATGGCCTATTTCTGAGAAAAGAAAACAACTTAATTAAAGCTTGAGGATACATGTAATATTTTATTACTTTTGGTATCGATGTATTACAAAAATAATTATGTAGAAATCATCTTATTTTAGAAAATGAGAAATCATGTTTGTTATGCATGAATACGTCAAAGAAAGAAAGAAACCTTAATGAAAGAGAAATAATAGCCAAAAGTAAGAACGAAAAAGACAGATCAACGAAAGAAACATTGTACCCATCCCAGATGGGCGTTGAGTTTATTTTATTTTATTTTTTATTTCCTCTTATATATCAATATTCATCGAACATACAAGAAGCAAAATATTCAATAAGAGAAGAGTGAGTCAACAATTTCCTTCAAAGCATTAATTTCATTTCCCTCTACACTCCCAAAAGAAAAGAAAAGAAAATCTAACATTCATTATTATATAATATTCATTCTTACTTGTGTCTCTCCTTATAACCATATATTTTTATATACAAAATTTAAACTTAGAATTTCACTTAAGAAAATCGAATCGAATATTCCTTTAATATTACTAAGAAAAATTAAAGTAAAGGGTAAAAGGATAAATTTGTTGCATTCAAAGGCAGTGGTAATTGGGTGGTTATATATTCTTGTTGAACGAAAGATAGATGAGGATGGGGCTCTGCACAAGCTTCAATTCCATAACTTGAAAGCTTAACTATTAGATTCTACACGAACATATTTTCCACATAAAAGGCGTGTGAATAGAACCTTTAATTAACTACTAGCTAGCTAGGAAGTTAGGAACATAGCAGTAAAAGATTATTACTTTTTTAAAGCAGAGATTATAAAATGCTGTTTTTAAACAGGCAAGCCCCTCAAATGAAGAGGGTGCACCACTTGAACAAAACATTAAGTGACAATTATTCTCATTTTGCTTTATATAGTAAAAGGTTTAAATATTGTGGGTCAAATAAATGCTTAAACAAGGCAGCACACTTTAAAGTTACACGGAATGCTCTTGATTTTAAAGTGCAGGAAAACAACCAGACTTTGGAAATTAAGGATGTTATTATATGAATAAATAAAAATTTTCACACCCAGAATTCACCAACAATGTACAAAACTTGGCAAAGAGGGTTCCAAGCAAAAGAAAGCTACAAATTCAAGGCAAATGGAGGGGTGTTGACCCTACTGTCTTTTTCAAAGATGAAGCAATTATTAATAATATAAGGGATTTTTATGGGATCAATGAGTATTTTCCATTCAATGGTTATCTTGTTACAAGAAATAGTGATGTAAATCATGTGAAAAGAATTTATTATATCTCCAAGTCAGTTAAGGATGTTCTTGAGTTGAACTTCAAAGTTGGGCAGCAACTTAAAATAACCTCAATTGGCCTGAAGATGTTTGTAAGTATATTTTACTCTATTAAGAGATATTGTTGTTTCTGTTAGTATTATTATTTTATGTGGTTGATTTATTCATCATTCATGCTGCTAATTGTAAAAATAATTTATGTGGATGTTAATAATTTTTTTAATAGAAGGGGCCCAAAAAGTTAGGTAGGTAATGGTGTAACATAGATAAGAGATTGATCCTGGCAAGGGAGACAAATTTAGTCAGAATCTGATTTGTAAAATTAAAGTGTATGATTTTTTCAACACATTGATATTGAAGAAGTTAACCCAAACTCTAGTATT